CACTTTTTCTTGATGGAAAGCTTATAATTAGAAACTTTTTTGTACACTTACGTTCCCCATAATGCTTAAACATTAGCTCTTTGTATGTAAAAATGAACACGCATTTGGCAAAGGAAGAATGCTGTATATTCTAAAACAGTTCTAGGCAGTAGACAAAGTTTTTAAGCGAACAGTAAGGGTGTACTTGAAAATAGGAGCAGGACAGGAGATGGGGTATGAGGAAAATAGGGTTGAGAAAACATGATTAAGAAAAGCTGGATACTAAGAAATACAGTAGGAAGGCTGCTCTTCATAGGCGACAATAGGTTTAGGTAAACCAATCTATAAAGATTTTTTTAAAATCTAAGAATGGAGATCAGTGTTTTGATTTTCATTTTTCTTTCTACTATTAAATGATTTTTTCTTAGAAAAGAAATCTGGAGAAGTGGCTGTTCTGAAGAGAGATGGGCGATACATATATTACTTGGTAAGATGGGGCCTATTCTCAATATGTTCTAAGGATTGGTGAACAGATAGGCTGCACTGAATTTGTGTTGATCATGATAGTCCATTCTAGACAACCAAAGATGTCACAAAGCTGCTGATCCCATGCCAGCTCAGGTCCAGTGGGGAGGCTGTGTGGAGCTCCGGGTTAGAAGAGAAGCATCCAGCTCCATGGGAAGGAGTACTGTGATGTCTTCCCAAGGCCTGTGCTCTAAGACCTGGAAAAGTTAGGGATGCCTCTCGTACTTGAATTCCTTCCTCCTCATAGTGAGGTAGAGAAACTATCATGTCTTGAGACAGATTGCCCAAAGCAGTTTTTCATCCTCCATCAAATGCACTCAGCCGCTTGCCTGCCTGCTGCCTCAGTGGGGAGTCTTCCCCTGTCTACATGGTCCTCAGCCCCAGAAAGAGTGGCTTTTTGGTGATGGTGCTGGGTGACTTCCAGCCCCCCCCCCACTAAGAGCTCGGTGTGGACAGCGCACTAAGGGGTATCATGTCTTTGAATGCTGTCTGTAAAGCTGCTGGGGCTTCAGTATTATTTGGAGTACTACCAGCTTGTCTCTGTTCTTTTATAGAGAAACAAAAGGCAAGCAAGCATAGTTTCTAAGTAAATAAGCTTAGGATGCATTTGGGTGGTATGGGTTCTTGTTACAGATATGCAGCTTATCTCTTGGAAGTGGCACAAAGACTTTCACCTACTTTGCTTAGAAACAATACACAATAGGCACAGCCTGTTAACCTCCTGGGCTTGAGAGAAGGAATGATTATTACCTGGCAGTGTCTGGATTTCTCAGGCCCTATTTAGTTGATTTTCCTGAAGGCTTCCCATAACTGGAAGGGACAGTATGACATTTGTCATCCCTGTTTTAGACTGTTCTATAAAAATACACTTTTTGTTTTAATTATCAGGATGTTGGGAGATGTGATGGCTTTTCTTTGGCTATCATTTTGGACTAATAGAAGTTTGAATTCTTTCTTTACTCAGATTACAAAGAAAAGGGCTTCACACAAGCCAACTTATGAAAACTTACAGAAGAGTTTAGAGGCCATGAAGTCCCATTGTCTGAAGAACGGAGTCACAGACCTCTCCATGCCCAGGCAAGGAAATCCAGGGCCCTAAGTGAAGACCTGATTGGTGGGGTTTAGACAAATGACTTACAAGCTTAATCCAAAATACAGACTTAAAGGTGGGCAAATTTCAAAACTTTAAAAATATCACCAGTGAACCAGTTGTCAGACCTTAGGCCAAAGCATACCCGTTTCTTAGCTTGGGTTGAGTGACTCAGGATAATTAAAACCCACACCTGCCTCAACCTATGTAGTAGGGAGGAACCATTGTTCAATCACATTTGTTAAATTTCTGTGTCCTCCGCCTGAATCTTAGCTTTGATTCCTGAAGCAATGTAAGCTTAAGAACCAAGACAGAGCAATTGTGATTTCCCTCTGGGCCACTGCAGGTGTCCCAAACCTGTTAAACCTGCCCAAAAAAAGCTGTAAAGGATCTCTGCCTTTTAAACTGCCTGCTTGTTGATGGTCACCTTGGGCAGTAGCCAGAGGATATATCCCTGAGGTAATGTCTTAGACCAGTGATGGCGAACCTATGACACGTGTGTCAGAGGTGACACGCGAACTCATTTTTTTGGTTGATTTTTCTTTGTTAAATGGCATTTAAATATATAAAATAAATATCAAAAATATAAGTCTTTGTTTTACTATGGTTGCAAATATCAAAAAATTTCTATATGTGACACGGCACCAGAGTTAAGTTAGGGTTTTCCAAAATGCTGACA